GTTCACGAAATATTTGAAAGTATAAAGAAAAAGAAAATAGGATACACTCGGACTCTGGTTATGCAGTTATCCAGTCTGGTCAGCAGGTGGAGCCATAGCTCCACATTTAAATCCTCGAGCTCGAGCGCTGGCGGCCGGGAGCAGCAAAACCGCTGCACGTTTTCCTTCCCAACTGCCAGATCACATTCACCCCACTGTTATTTAATAATACCCTTGGTTAGATGGTTAAATGACAACCAGCAGGAGACAGACTAACGGACTTATGGTGGAGAGACCATTTGGATTATTGTGTAGGCAGAATGAGTAGTGTGTGTGTGTGGACCAGATGGCAGACAGACCCAGCGATCCCTCTCATTCACCCTTATTTATCATTTATTCACTAATGGTATTACCAGCCGGTTGACTGCCCCCCCTGAATGACTGACTGACTGACTGTTCTGGTGGCCAGTTTTCAGTTCCCCTGGTCCGCCTGCTGACTGATTCTCTGCCTCTCTATTTCAAATGGCATTGGAGCTGACTAAGGTAAACATTAGATGTTTCCAATTCAGGATCTGCACCTTGACTGGAGTGCGGTCTGAGTGGATCTGAAAGGCCAGACCACAAAGACTGCAGAGTGTTTCAAATTGGCTCAGGTTTTTGGGGATTGTTTTTCCTGGGACACACAGCCCTTTAAATCTTAAATCTACGGCGTCGCATTTCAAATACATTTTACACAAATGATCTGTTACAGAATTCGAGACAGAGAAAGAGACTCACTTTTTTGTCCAGTGTTTTTGTCACTCACTGTCCGTCCGATCAAGTGGTTGACCGTTTCACCCACCAACAGACTGCCTTCTTGGGTGACAAACTAGCAGTCTGGCCTAGTGATGCAACGGCCAACTGTTTCTGAACCGACTTAGTGATTTTCAGATGAGGTCAGAGCTGCAGCTGCTCTGATAGAGGACTGTTTTGTTTTTTTTTTTGTTTTTTTTTTTCTGCCTTGGTCTGGAGGAAACACAGACAACATTGTTACAGTACATTGGTCAGAGATGGAGGAGGAAAGGACATGGTAAGGAGGCATGAACAATTGGAGATGGAGAAAGAGCTGATAGAAAGAGGGAAAACCCACAGATGAAAAAAATAAATAAATTTAAAGCCACCCCAACTGTGAGGAGGGACAGGATGTACAACATCCATGGTTTTCTTTTTTGTCATACTTAATTTTAAAGAAACAGGATGTGTCTGAGGTCAGGGGTTAACAAGATGGCCTCATGACTACAATGGTCTTGTTTATCCCTTCCAGAACTGCTGCTAATTACTGTTTATTTGTAAGGAAGCTTGAATTCAGTCTCATTCTCCTACGTGAACATAAAACTCACGACTCCAGTACCCAGGGCTGATTAACACACGTGTGACTAAAGTTGAGGTTCAGGCCTCAGAGACAGAATAAAAATGTAACCGTTTGCTATAGAACTGTAGGCAGAAAGACCGCAGAGCCTCTCGTCTAAGAACCAGAGGATCCACATTTAGTCCAGAATCGGTTCAATTATTCAAATCTCAATTTCTGTTTATGAATATATGTATGTGTCTCTGCAGGCCGGCCAGGAGTCTTTCCGGTCCATCACCAGGTCTTACTACAGAGGAGCCGCAGGAGCGCTGCTAGTCTACGACATCACAAGGTACTTTCACGTCAGAAGCACACGCACAGATGACTTCCTGCTCACAGGGATCGTTGGCAGATGGGATGTTAGTGATAAGACCATGTTTCTGATATGGTGTTTGGTCAGGATGACTAAAAGAATCTTTCATTTGTTTGTCTGCTGCTATGAAAATCAATCCAATGTGTAAGTGATAAATGCCTTCAGATTTAAACCAGCAACTTTTTGTTTGTATAACAGAAGGGACACTTTCAACCACTTGACGACCTGGTTAGAGGACGCTCGCCAACATTCCAACTCAAATATGGTCATCATGCTCATTGGCAACAAGAGGTAAAAGTTAGTGGTTTAGAATGAAAAAAAACAAACTTAAATAATGTCACAACAGGAGGATGTATTTGTGTAATGTTGTGAAAGCTAAAATCCATTAATCAACATGTGTTGTGACCACCATCTGTGACACAAGTCCTGATTTAATACCTCAGTCATTTTTTTACTGTAGTTCCTGACTCGTCCTCTTAAACCAATGTGTGTTTTTCCAGCGACCTGGAGTCGAGGAGAGAGGTGAAGAAAGAAGAAGGTGAAGCATTTGCCAGAGAACACGGCCTTATATTCATGGAGACCTCAGCTAAGACGGCCTCTAATGTGGAGGAGGTAAATAAACTTCATTGAGACAGACTGGCTGATGGAGGCTGTTTTGAATCTATCCAAAATCTCACCTGTAGCATGGTAATGTGCCGTACGGGAGTCGAACCTCGACAGCTTTACATTCAGCTTCATGACCCACAGTTTGCACAGGGAGCACGGAGCTCCTCCCCTCACAGGGACACGCCCCTGCTGTTGTTGTGGTTGATAAATGCTTACTGTTGTCCTCGGGGAGCTCTCTCTCACTTATCTACTCACATAAATAATCACATTCCACACAGCACAGCGTGATAGTCAAGGGCAGCGTGTGTGCGTGCGAAGGTGTGTGTGTGTGTGTGCTAAAAAAATACACATTTACATTTTGTATTTTTTGTCAAACTGCAGTTTGTTTTGACAGAGGCACTTTGTTTATGTTAACAACTGGCGGGTGCCATCTTGAATTTCAGTTTTTATAAAACACGAAATTTTATTGTGTCTTGGATACAGTTAAGTTGTGGACCCCACTGCTGTTTGTACAGTATATTATTTATCTACGCATTTTGTATTTTCTTTCCTGGGAAGGCACATAGAGTTCCATCAGTCTTTAGGACCACAGGAGCGGGGCTTAATTTCGTTGGCTCTGATTAAAAGTAGGATTAAGATATGCCTCATGGATTGATTAGGGTTAGACATTAACAGGCTGAGATTAGAAATAAAGATGTGGTTTTGAATGAACATTGGATTTTAATGCAGGCTCTTTTCAAGAATAGCCTTTTAAACCTACGGGAGTTTGTGTGCATGTGTGTGTGTTTACCATATTTTTTCTTGCCTCTCTCCTGGCCTATATGTGAAATCACACCCCCGTACACAGCTGTAGAGCAGAGCTTTGGTGAAAAATAAAGGGTGTGCGTGCGTGCGTTTGAGTGCATGCACGCGTGCGTGTGTGTGTGTGGTATGATTAATTTGTCTCATTAGTGTCCTCTGAATCCTCCTGATACAGCCTCTCTCCTCCCTTTCCCTCATCTCTTGACACTCCATCCCTCCTCATCCCTTGATGTCCATCATTTGCTCTTTACCTCTCTCCCCCTCGTCCTCTCTCAACCCCTCCTCCCATTCTCCTTCCGTTTCCTCCTCCCAGCCCTCAGCCGATGTGTCGCCCTCTTTTTTTTTCCGCCCAATGTCTTGCTGCCCTCCTACATTCACTCCTCCTCCTCCCGTCCTCCTCCCGTCCTCCCTGCTGCTCCCTCTTATCCATCATCTCTCCCCTTCTCTTGAGCAGTATATCAACCAGTTACAGCTCATACATATTCATGACCTCCTCCCTACATCCAGCTACAGCCAGCAGCCAATCGGTGTGCTGCTTTTGTCATGAGGGTCTGTGGGTGGACACTGGGGCCGAGGGGATGGTCCTGAGAGAGAAATTCCTGTAAGCGTCTCGTCACCATTTCATCCTGTCTCACTTCACGGGAAATTATTTTTAGCCCCTAACGTTCCTTCCTGAGACGCATTCTTTTCTGGTTTGTTCTGAAATCCTTTCATATCAGTCAAATTTGACTCCATTTATAAAGGGTTAAAGGATTGATGGTTCATATCCCAGCCAATCAGGGCTGTGACGTGTTGAACAGCGTGTTTCAAGGATAAGATCAATCTGGATGACACATTCTGTTTTGTGTGTATAGTTGATCTTTATACTGGTATAAGAGCTGAGAATTGTTTTTATTTAATTCAAGCGTCAGAGAATTTATTTACTTTTTGATTGTGATCTTCAGAAACACATCCTACTGAAGTGACAGGTTGGTGTTTGTGCAAACCTGGATGTTGATGAAGGCCCTGTTTCAGATCTGATTACTACACTGGACTTTGTTGTGTGTGTTTTAATGAATATAGTGTTTTCCTTTGCTAGCGTGCAGTTAGTCATTTCCATTAGCCATGCTGTAGTGTGAGACATTGGATGTTGTTCTGTGTGACCTTTGCTAATGAACTACATCACACACCGTCCACTTAACAAATATTAAATGTGTTCTTCTTCTTCTCTGTTCTTCCTCTCTTCCTGTCTTTGTCTCAGGCGTTCATCAACACAGCCAAGGAGATCTACGAGAAGATCCAGGAAGGAGTGTTTGATATCAACAATGAGGTCAGATGCACCGTTCCCTCTTTCTCCTCTCCTCTCCTCTCCTCTCCTCTCCTCTCCTCTCCTCTCCCTTCCTCTCCTTCCCTTACCCTCTTAACCTCTTTATTCCCTTTCTTTCTGAGGCTGTCAGTCTTTGTTCCCTACTTTCCACTCTTTTTTCTCATCAATGTGTGTGGTTTGCCACGCTCCCTTCTTTAAAAAGATGTGGAAAGAGAGAGAGAGACCCCTCCTCTCTTTTTCCTTCAACTCCAGCCAAGCAAAACTCCCTCCTCTCACCTGCTTTGCTGCAGTTTCCCCTCTCTCTCTCTCTCTATCTGTGTGTGTGTCTCTCTCTCCCCCTCCCTCCGTCGCCCTCTCTCTCAGCATCTGCCAGCATATAAATTCCACACATCCCACAAGGTCTCAGTCATTTAAGAAAACAAACAAGTCAGCCAGTCAGTCCGTAGGCTGCCTGTCTAACCAGCCAGTAAGTAAATCAGCCAGATGGTTATCGTCTTAGTAAAAACAGCTTTCCAGACAGGAAAGTCAGGATGCTCACCCATGGTCAGACTCTTCAAAATGGCAGCCAAGGTGTGACATGTCCACAGTGGCATTCTTCTTATTCTTCGTCTTTAAGGCCACGCCACAGATGAGGAGTTTTGACCTACTCGCACACAAAAGAAGCTCACAACAGATGAAGCAATCACTAATCTCACAATGTTTTCTGTCTGACTGTGCTGAAGGAGAGGCAGTGTTTTTGTCTTTATTTTATTTATTTTTTACAAAACTGGTGCTGAAACATCTCTGAGACTGAAGGTCTCTAACCTTCAACACCAAACGGAGCTGTTTTTAACGTTTTACTACCAAACTAAATTCACAAACGCTGCAGAAACGTTTTAATCCAATAGGCAGCAGTGAAGTGTGTGACATTTTAACAACTGTATTTATGCAACAGAATTGTAGAAACTAAAGGCAGTGACGCTGCTTAAAAACAAGTCAGTGATTGACTGCTGTCAACTTAAATGATTGTCTGATTTGTTTGTTTCTTTGTGTAAAATCAGCCAGATATATTTTCCCTTCACAAACATTACATAAAATCTCACAGCCAGCCAATGCAAAACTGCCAAAGAGCCACATGTGGCTCTGGATTCGCAGGTTGTGCGAAGGAAAGAAAAAGAGGCGGTAATAACTTCTGTTTTGTGTTTGTTGGAAGTCGATGAAGAGCAGCTGTGTGGTGTAAACTGCATCATAATCCAAACAAGCCGTCGGCGTTCACTGACCACGTGCAGAACATTAGAATGCGTGTACATGAGGACACAGTAGTAGGACGTTAACATGCGTGCCTCTCCTTTAGAGCGCACGGTGTCTCTGCCTTGATGTGCAGTCAGCCTGACAGTCGGAAATTTTCAATGGTGAGGCAGACAGTAGTGCAGTTTGCTGGGCCAGCAAATGTTTTTGTTCTTAGTAAGAGTACGGAGTAAAAACAGGCCAGCTGGCCAAACCACATCAGCTGACTGGCTGAGAGAAAGGGAAGCCCCGCCAGAAATGTTGGCAGGCACTATGAGAAAACTCTCACACGCACACACACACACACACACACACACACGGCCTAAGCTCAATAAATGTGATTTAAAGGCATACAGTGTTTCCCAGAGGCCCTACTGCTGCTGAGTAGGAAGGAGAGCTACGCTGGGAGGTAGAGCGATAAATATACTTAGAAGGAGAGAGAGGGGGTGAGGCAGACTGAGCTATAATCAGAGAGAGAGAGAGTGATGATGAAACACAGGGAGAGAAAGTGACCAACCACAGATCACTAGTACTCGGAGGAGGAGGAGGAGGAGGAGAAGAGTAAGCGCTGCATTTAAAGGGATGAACTTTTTGCCCAGCTAGAATACTACGACAAAAACCGAATCAAAACTAAACGCAGTTTTAATGGCAAATATATTGATGCACCAGTCAAAAAAAAGAAAATCTGGCACAGATGGATTTGATCACTGGTGGTTTGGTCATGTAGAGGGACAAATGAGGGCGAGAGCCAATCAGATCGTCGACTGTTGCTTTTGTCCTGTAGTATGAAGCCAAGAGTGAGTAAGATGTAATGTAGACCCACTTGGTTTTGATACAACCTCTTTGCACTGACGAGTAAACTGCTGGGCATCACCACCAGAGTCATACAACATTATTCCTAAATATGAAATATACACGTTGGTTTATTTTAATGCTGTGGCTTCATTATTAACCAGTTTGTGTTCTCTCTTCTCACAGGCTAATGGTATTAAGATAGGACCCCAGCATCCTACCACCAACTCCACGCTGTCTAGTAGCCAGGGAGGCCAACAGGCTGGAGGAGGCTGCTGCTGAATCCCACAAACACACTAACGTCCTCTTCCTCATCCTCCTCTTCCATCCCTTTCTCCAGTTTTTCCTTCTTTCTACAGAACTGTGCAGGCTCTTAACAGTTTGTTAACCTCTCTCTTTCTGTCTCCCCCTCTTCCCCCTCTCCCTCTCTATCTGGAGCTCCACTCTTTCGTCCCTCCTTTCCTTCCTCCCTGTCTTTCTCTGTCTGCCATGTCTTTCCAACCGTACCTGAGCATCTACAGGCTGCATTGTCATAAATCATCCTGACTGCCTCCAATCTTTACAAGGACAAAGTCGGCTTCACCTGCAGATACAGCGACCAAATTATAAACTTTAGCAGTTCACCTTGTTTCTTTGGTTAAACAAACAGGTTTTAAACTTCTTCTTTTTTTTTAATTTCCTAAATCCATGCATCTTAAATCATTAGGTTTGTTGTAATTATTTAGTATCTCAGAATGGTTTAAAAAGTAAACTATATATTTTCAGAACCAGTGAGTTGACACTGTCTAGATAGACAGTGTTGTAGAGATTAAATACACTCTTAACAAACTGACTATTTGGAATAAAAGCGCGCTGTGTGTCATGTCTGCACATGTTTGTACATGTTTGGGAAGAAAATGACACAGCGTGTTGGCACCATGACACGTCCCTGCACGTTAGGTCTTCATGCTGCGCCTCTGTGTGCAGGGATGATGCTGGTATTCCACTGAGTCAGTAAGTGTTGGATGAAGGAGGCATTCAAGTCACTCTGTATATTATGTCCATGAAAAAAAAAGTACAAATGGTGTTTTTTTTTTTTTTTTTGTGCGTTGTTTTGCTATTTTGTTACATTTTCTCTCTGTCTCTCTGTGTCCTTTTCTGTTGACTTTCCAATGATTTGTGTTTAATGAACACTACACAGTGTCTGTAGCTCAAAATATGTTTTAAATTGTCTGGGGAGGGAATAAAAAACCAAACCATCAAGCATGAGGAAAGATCCTTTGTCGAAGCGGCACAGAAGTCGAGCAGGACAGTGACAGAAAGGTTGAGGGATGTTTGAGCAGCGACTGAAAGTTAGGAACTGAAGAAAAGTTGATTGGAAACTAAACATTTTTTATTTTTATTTGTTTACAGTATTTATCAAACACATTTATTTCTGTGTATATATGGCTGTTGGGGGGGTGCTGTAGCTTTTTTAGGTGGGCTGTGGCTTGATGTGTTTTTGCGGTCGTGGGCTTGTTAATGAGCCAGAGTGAGTTTTGGACCTGCAGTCAGCGTGTTATCATTCCAGATGTTAAACCCAAAGTTACCAATCCACCGTGACATACTTCAGAACTGAGGTCCTACTGTTTGAATTTGGAACTTTGGAATGATGACATGACTGTACTGAGGATTTGAACGTCCCTGGGTCAGGAAGAGATGGAAAAGGTGGAAGCATCTCAATTTTGAGGGCGTAAATGTTTCACCATGAAAGAGCAAACAGACACTTGCAAATGTTAACTGCTTTAGAGCTTGACTGACGAATGCTGCAAATGTGTTTTTTTGCTTCAAAAAAAAAAAAAAATCAGCGACGATGTAATAGGCAAGATTTTACTGACGCTTTCGGTTTCTGCTGCTTCTGCTTCCTAATGGTTATTTCCCTTTGTCAGACTGTGTGATAGCATCAGCTTTCTTCTTACTTTAATGCCAAATTATTGTTTACTTGTGCTTTGTCGGTGCAAAAATAATAAATAAAACAAATGAAAACACAAGGGGAAAATCCACCACGCGCTGATCTGGAATCTGTTGTCTGCCTTAACTCTGCCCTCCTGAGAGATTAGGACAGCTGCCAAAAAACTTAACTGCCCCCTCTGTTCACTAACAGTCGTTTTACCACTAACTGGTGGATGCATTTCACGTTCAAACACACACACACACACACGGGAAGAGTGCTGTAAATAAATGAAAAAAAAACCCTCCATTTTGATTTCTGTGCATGTATCGCATCATTTCAGGAGGATTCGAAACCCATCCCTGTACACACACCCACACACCCACACACCCACATACAGTACGCCCATGCTGCATACAATATATTTGTGTGTATCTATAGCTGTTTCTCTTCAGGCTACCTGCATAACTTTAGCGTTCTTGCGTGTCATAGCTGTGAGAGTGAATCTGTTTTTTGTTGACAGTGTGTTCTCTTCTCTCTTTTTTATTCTAAATATATGAAGTCAGTTATTAATCTAATTCTGATGAATATTCTTTCTTGAGCAATGTGTGTGAGTACAAATATGTTTTAAGGTGTGTGTGTGTGTGTGTGTGGAAGCAGAGGTATCACTGGGGCAGGATCAAGCCAAACCTGACGCCCTCTATTTACCTACTTATCTATCTATGGATCGATTGTCTATCTTATCGATGTGGCCCCCCCTCTCCTGTCCCCCTCCCCCCCTCTCTTCTTGCCTCTCCTCCTTAACATTATTTGCTGTGTTTGTTCTTTGGAAAAATTTTAAAAAAACAACAAATAAATTAAAAATATATAATGCTGTCACAATAAACTATATTAAAACATTCTACAGCTCTATATGTCACTTTGATTGGTGTGTTGAACGAGGGTTTTTTTCACATGCATTGATTTTATAAAATGAGCCCAAAAGCTTGTTTGCTCTGGGATCCGTGTTATTCGACCTTAAGCATCCATGGAGATCGCACTGATGAAGGTCAACTTGACTGAGAGGCTTCCTGATGAATTATACATTTTTTTCTGTCGTATGTAGTCAACGAAGGGCTGCGTGTTCACTGTATGTGCATGACCTTTTTAGCAGCGGCCCATACATGTCATGTACTCATGGATCTATGGGAATAAACAGTGTTTCTGGGACGGGAGCGGATGTCAAGTCAGTCTCAGAGACCCGGTCCAAAACCACAAGTGGGTCGCTTGTCTCCAAGCTAGAAGTTGTTTCAAAAGTGTGACATGTTAAACACTCATGCTTTTATAATGTTTCTTTTTGTTGGACTGCAAAGAAAAATATATTTAACCCCCCAAATAACTGGGCTTATTATTAATAATAATAATAATTAACAGTATTACCCAGTATGAAGTACTGGTGTGAAGTAATGTGGACACACACTCGTGTGTGTTTTCATCACACACCTCTGTTTAGCTTGGGTGCTGGATTCACCTTAAACTGCAGCTTAGATGCTAATAACATTAGTCAGGCACCACTAATTAGTGAGGCTTAATAAACATCTGTCATTGCGTCACCCAACACGTCACCAACGTACGTCACGGGCAGACAACAAACTACTCGAAACTACTACGTTCACCAAGACCTCACAACTAGGTCACTCATGCAGAGATTGTGGTGAAGAGTGTATACAGTCCTTGGCTTCGAAGTCTTCTCCCAGCAGCTGTCACTCAACTGCCAGGCCCTCCACAGAAGACACACCCGCTGCTTGTAGTTCCTCGGAGTGAGCATAGGGGGCGCACTTGTGCACTGCAAAACGGCCGGGGTCTCACACAGATTTTTATACAATTAATGACGAATCATTAAAAACAAGTTTGTCAAAAGAAGAATGTAGAAGTACTTTCCAAAATACTTCACGTCATGAAATAAAAAAACACTTTTTGCCTTTGTAAAAAAAATCGCCAAATGTATTTTTACTTTATTAGTTTCCCTATTTTAATATTGCTTTGTCAATTTTGACATAAAACTGCAGAATGAAAATGTAAAACGTAATGGAAATGGTTTGGTAGAGCACAGTCAACAGAGTTTCATAATAATTTCATGCAAGGCACATGCACATCTATTGGGACTGAAGTTGTTTACTCACTTTGAAGCTTCCAAATAAAACACATTTATCTTTAGTAAATTAACTTACTTACTTCTTTAAATTACTTCTTAATTCCCCAAAAGGGAATTCTGAGGGAATAATCTATCTATCTATCTCTATCTATCTATCTATCTATCTATCTATCTATCTATCTATCTATCTATCTATCTATCTATCTATCTCTATCTATCTATCTATCTATCTATCTATCTATCTATCTATCTATCTATCTATCTATCTATCTATCTCTATCTATCTATCTATCTATCTATCTATCTATCTATCTATCTATCTATCTATCTATCTATCTATCTCTATCTGTCTGTCTGTCTGTCTGTCTGTCTGTCTGTCTGTCTGTCTGTCTGTCTGTCTGTCTGTCTGTCTGTCTGTCTATCTATCTATCTATCTATCTATCTATCTATCTATCTATCTATCTATCTATCTATCTATCTGTCTGTCTATCTATCTGTCTATCTATGCATGAAGGTACAGAAAAACGGCCACAAATTGATACATAAAGAAATTAAGGATCTTAGCTACACCCTAACCAGCTCATCCACATTCATAATAATAATAATAAAAATAACCTAATAGTATGTTTTGTTTATAATATGCAACCTTTACAAAGTGTTTACTTCTGTATGAAAGTCCATTAAGAAAATAAGTGATTTTACATTGCTGCACAAAGAAATGGCCTTCATCCCACACCAAAAATATATTTAACCGTCTTCACATTTGTAAACAAACACTGATTCGGCCAACAGTTTTAGATGCTCAACCAAAACATACAAAAAAAAATCAAACTAAACATAATTCTTTTGTAAATGGATGATAAGACTTGAGGGTTGTAAGTCCTCCAAGTAAAAACGTTTTAAATAAGAGTCAGATTTTGTTCTAAGTCATTAAGGTAAATACACATTAATTGATAGTCAATGCAGTATAGTGCAGTACAGAATGTGTACAGGTACGTTTAGAATCAAAGATATTATAAATTAAAACTGTAACACTCCACAGTGTTTCTCCATATATGAACTGAATGTGGAGAGCTGCACACTGGCACTTGTGAGGTCAGTGGCCGCGCACGCCGCCTGTTTATCAGTACTAGAGCTCCTCGGGAGCGCGCACCCCCTGGCCAAGGAGAAGCTGAGCGCGTGTGTCTGGAGGGGAGGACTCGGGAGCGCGACCAGCAGCGGGATCGATCGAATTAAACTCGATTCGAGTGAAATTAACACAAAGGACACCAGCGCAACGCACTCTAGTCGGCGTGGTTGCGGATGGGAGAAGTGCCGGCAGAGAAATATTTCACGAAAAGCCACAAAACTTGAACTTTTTTATCTTGTTATTTATATTTCAAAGGACAAACGAGGACCACGGTGGATTTTTTTTTTCCAACCAAGCGGAGATACTAACGCCACCAGGACGGAGTTGAATTGATAGAAAAGACCGAAGTGACTGAGCTTGTTAGGTAAGCGAACGAATTATCTTCTTCACTGAGGGATTTTTATAAGCTTTTAAGTGCGATTGAGTTCATATGTGATTCATTGATTTGTGGCCAACGTTTTGGAATGAAAATCATTCAATATCTTCTCTAAATAACAAGTTTAACGCACTTTCCTGCCTCATCTTATCGGGACTCGTTGAATCCGCGGTGTGAGAGTTGGACCAGGCATTCATTCACCTCTAGCTCAATGGAAGCTCTGTGTTGGTCGGATGTTCGTTGTTTATCTCGTGTTTCTGTTTTATTTTTCATAGGGGAATAAAACAATTCAAGCCCCATTTGAGCTCCCCACGCCGACATGCTAACAATAGCAAGTTTAGCTTTACCACCCGCTATATCACTCACTCACATACACACATCCACACACACAAACAGACACGCACACATACACACACACACACACACGCAGTACAACAGTGATGAAAAGTGGAAATAAAAAATCTCCAGCACCGCACAGAGGACGGTCTCTCTGTGCTACACCGTTTCCCCTCCGACAACTTGTTGAGTTTTTCTTGGAGGAAACATCTCCTCTGGGGTTTTTTGGGGAGAGTGCGTGTTAGCCCTGTTAGCTGATTGTGTCGGAGCTTGTGGGAGACACGAGGTGGCTGAAGCCTAGAGGTGAGTCACTGGCCCGAGTCAATGAGCGCAGCTCCGCCAGAGAGGGAGGGAGATTCCCAGCGGAGAGCACTTGGTGCATATGCCCTCAAACTGGCTACAATAGACCCAACTCAGTCGTTCAATGTACTGAAATGAAAAATATAGTCTCATTTATCTACTGATTGTGATGTTTTCTTCAGAAACTGAGCTTGGTGAAGTGCATACGCTAGTTTGAGTCGGACGGAAGGTACAGGGCAGCGAGAAGAGATGGGGAGGGGGGGGGGTCTGTGAAGCCACTCGGTCATTTTAACCCTTGTTTTTAACACCGTTTATATGCGCCAAACCTGTTTAAAACTAACCGTGGGACATTCGCGCCGATGTGTAGTGTTGCTTAAGGGGATGAAAGTGTTTATTTGAGTGAAATCCGAAATGAGGGTGTCTCCGGGTCGGGAACGACTTGCAAAAAATGCCACTGATAGGCTAATTAGCCTCGCTAGTCCGTCGCTAGCCTCCTGTAGCCGTTGCTTATCCTTGTTATGTTAGTCCGAGGACTAGTCGCCACCTCCGGCTGTGAAACAACCATCGGATTATATACGTGCAAATCAGCATCAAGGCAATAAAAAAACGCACCCTCGTACTCAACGTGACACTTTTAGTCGAGTTCTCACGATAAGGGGCACAATTTGGCTTCTTTTCAAAAGTTTAACTGACCGAAGTTTGAACGGAACCGCAGCTACACTTGTTACTCGACAGCGGACGGTGTAGAAAACGCACCTGTCGGTGCTCGCCACATCTACAGGGCTTTTTGTGATTCAAAGTAACTCAAACGACAGAGGTTTCGTTTGAGTTCTTGCAAAGTGCTGACTTTTCAGCCTCCGCCACTTTCTCCATTATGTTTCGGTCAGCTTGCATAATGGTCACCCTCTCACACAACTTTGGCTGCGCAGTAATTCAGTGCCAACGGGGAAAAGGACCCGAAAGCGCAGTCACTTTATTCACACACACAGTCAGTGCTTTTCAGTCGCTCGCACCGTGACACGTTGATGGGAGATGTATCAGGGTCGTTATTTTTTTTTCGCCCCTCAGAGCTCGAGGCTGCCTGCCTCCCCCACTACCACCTTGTGTATGTGAGCCAAGATGGCAGCTAGTCATGTTTAGCAGGCCACAGAGGGAGAGATAAGAGGCCCCGCATACACGCAAACACACACACACGCTCACGTGCGCGCGCACACTAGCACACAACAGATGTTCAGCACTGTTTGGTCCCTCGTCTGTCCGTCTCTCCCTCTCATGTGGTCAAAGTTGAAAAAGCCTTTTCTCTCAATCAGCTTCTTTCCTTAGTTAAGAAAAGTCCTCCCCCCGCAGTTAAACAGAAGCTGCTTTTATAAGTTAGTAAATAACACCATGGTTTAAGCATAACTTTATATTTATCTCATGAAACAAAGTTGTTTTTTTCACCAGCTAGTTTTGTATATTTTATGGCACCTTTTGTTTAAGAGTTGGATAATAATTTTCCTGACACGATGTGCATATGAGTTGATAACATTTTTTATTGACGGCTGGATCTTTTAAACTAGGCCTGGTGACAGTCAACATGTTTTTCAATTGTTTCTCTGAATACTTGTATAATAATAATGTTTCACATGGACACAGATTGACAATGATATGGAATGCTTTCCAGACCGTATAACTTGCCAGGCTGTGATTTACAGCAATATTGTAATCTGCCCTGAGGGAGTCTAGTCTCTCATTTCTTTTTTTTTTTTTAGGTTTTTAGTTTAATTTTGTTTGTTGTTTACCTTCTCCCATTTGACTTTTTCAGCACACAAAGGGTAAAACCTGTGTATGCTCATTATGATTCTGTGAATTTTGAGTAGTACTTAAACCATGTAAATATGCATTGATCTGGTTTATGCTCTTCTACAAGAATGAATGAAACTGCTTTTAGAGAAAGGTGTCTGTCCCCAGTTGTCTTCGCCTATGAATCATGGATTGAGTCAGTGTTTTATGATTGTTTGTCTCACTATGTGCAGCATATCATTGACATTTAACTGACTGTGTTTTTCAAAGTAGTTTGGAATTTTCCAGTGGAACAGAATTAAAATTGAATGGTGAGGATTAGTGGCCAGATAAAAAAACTGAAGGGTGTGTTTGTTTGTGTGTGTCAGCACTCCTAATGTTGTGGCCGATGTTGTCGTCTCTGCCCTTAACATATCGTATTACTCTTTGTCATGCAGTGACTTTAGTTTATTTGTCTTTACCTCCTAATCTTTGACTTTGACACGGTGCCATTTGGCTTTGTAGTTTCACCGCTGGCACCTCCGTTTGACGCAAACTCATCACTGAGTATTTTGTGGTGGATTTGGAGACTGTGTGTTCTCGAAAGTTTAAAACCTGATTTCTACTTTGCAAACATTGCACAAATTATGTTGACGAGGTTGCTGCATGTTTTACCAACTTCCTTCCTAAAGCCTTTTCACATGCCAGTTAATTTTCTACCAGGTTGTTGAAACTGTCAAATGCCATCACAGAAGAGGTTTTAATTCAGTGATGAATTATGTTAGTGACTGTAGAAGCTGTAATTATTGGATTAGTCTGACTTGTACTGTATGTGTAAAATGGCACTACAACTTGAAACAACACGCAGAAATGAATTGACTGTGAGATCAGTTTGTTCATGCCCGTATACATTGACTTTACCCTTACTTGCACTAGTGCACTGGCTGTGCTTTACATCTCCCTCTCTAGTCTTTGACCTCCAAGTAGCATTAAAAGCAGAATTTGAAGGCATGTCTACTGAGATGAAATCGAGTAGCATCAGACATTACCATCCACACATACGGTAGGTGTAAATCGTTTTAAGTGCATAGCATCTAGAAAATGCATAATGTCGGTGTCAGCTCTTCACTAGGGGTCACTAGGACTTAACAGGCCATGCAGTGGTATTTCATCAAAAGGGCTAAGGCTTTCACTCCACACTACATGCCAATGTATTCTTGTACAAGACGCTTAACCCCAAGTTAGTACAATGTAGTTTGAAGTTTGTCCTTAATGTGCTTTAAGCAGTTCGAGTCTGTAAAAATGTATGCACACTTACTTTAATAGCTCATATTGCCAACAAATTTAACTAGTAGAAAATAAATGGAAAAATAATATCCCTTAAATATCAATGCTTCTTTGTTACATACACACAGGTTTCAGGTGAAAATGTGCTTGAGTAACTTTTCTTTGTTGCTTTTCTTTTCCCATTAGGATCAGGAAGGTCCCTGTTGAGCATCAGTCTCTGCCACCATTCGGTCGTTGGAGGGAGCATTAGCCGTGTAGGTTGCACTTCCTGCGTTGGACTAGCACGTCAACGTGTATAGCTAACTTGTTCAGCTTAACTCACACACGATTTTATAATAAATGTGAGCCAAGACAGATTAATCAGGTATCTACGTTGCGACATAAATGATGGCACGAAAATGCAACATGTTGCAACCTCGGATGTTTTCTTATGATTCAGCCAATACATGCAGTCATCTTACATAGAACCTTTGTCAAAAAGGAGAAGCCTTATTTTTGACAGAATGAAATAAAGCATGTCATGACAGGGAATAATCTGGTACTTTAAAATTTAGATAAGGATAGATGTATATTCATTTGGCACAGTTGAGCTGTGAGGAATAGTGGCACAGCCTAACTGTGCATGTGAACACACTGAGCTAAAGGCCAGTATTCAGATGACATTATTCCTGCAGTAGGATAAATAGCAAGCCATGCTCCAGTGCTTGTGATGGACAGCCTTAGCACTGAGAGCCTGGTGTTGGGTGTCTGAGTCAGAATAATGGTGTTTGTTAGAGTGGCCATTTTGTCTCCTATCATCATGTCTGTTGGATGGCAGTCATTTTGCTCCAGCAGGAAGTGTTGATGTTCAGGGTTTTTTTTTTCCCCCACTATTTTGTGTGTCTTTTATCTTGCCATCCATCTCTCCATCTGCACGTCCTTCATCCACCCACCCGCTCCCTCTGCCCTTACATCAGCTCCTTCATCTTTTATCAACTCTTCGTTCACACTCTCGTTTCTTCTTTTTTTTCTCTCCATCTTCCCATTTTAGTTGGCAGACTGGTTTCCTGGTTCTCCGTTCCCTCTCATTCGTGCCTGAGAGGTTAGCAGAGGTCTTTGGCTCCATGGTAAATTCCTAAAATGAGACAGATTTCTAAATGTCTCTTCGACTCATCCCTTCATCTAACCTGTCCCTCACCCTGCCCCTTCTGTTCACCTGTTCTTCCCATCCTACTTTGATGCAGTGGCCCATTGGACCAAATGCCACATCTCCAAGAGAGGCTCGTATTGATGTAGCTCCTTAGTGTTTGTGTGTGTGTGGGCTG